CCTCGGTTATCTCGGCGGGAAAATGGGGGTAGGAGCCCCATCTCCCCTCCCCCACGCCGCTGGGATAGAACCGGGGCCGGCGAGAACAGGCCTCTGATCAGGGCTGTGGTCCTGTTCTGCACGCGAGGCACTCCGCCACTCACGGGCCAGCCGCCACCTCCTGGCTCATCCCCAGAAGGCCCTTGAGCAGCCTCCTTCCCCGACCTCCCTCACCTGTGGAGTGGGAGTAATCCCGGTCAGAGCTGAGAGTGTGCAAGGAGGGGGACCAACCCTGGGCTGTTGGAAGCCAATGTCCCTCCTGCAGCATCTCCACACCAGGGGACTCACTTTTCTCCTCACATTAGGGTCAAGTCCCCCATCCAGTGACTCGGTTCTCAGATGCAGACCTGGGATTGAAACCCGCAAACATTCGTCCCCGTTCTAGCCACAGGGAATGCTGCTTTGTCACTTTTGAGGTTAAGTGCTACTGGCCCACTGTGTGCCTGCCCAGGGTGAGGAGCCAAGGGCATAAACCAGGAGGCTGCACACCCTTCTGGATTTTATACTCTTTGTTCTCATGGGCGCCTGAGGCTGGAGTTTTTCCAACTTTGACATTCTCCAGCTTGGATCAGGAGAAGTCGGAGAATGTGGAACGAGTGCTACGGTTGAGAAGCCGAGTGGCCAAGGGCCTGGGTGGTAGTGACCCTCCAAAAATTCCAAGTTGCTCTCCAGATGAGAAGAGGCGCCACTCTACTTATGGTTCACATAGAATCTCTGTGCGGCTGGCTGACTGGAGAACTGAGTTCTCATTTGAAAACTGCTCCTCTCTAGCCAGATGACCTGGCACCAGCCATTCTGAACCCCAGTCTTCTCATCTGAGAAAGGCAGATAATCTTGCAGATGCAAAAATTAAGACATTGCCTGATGAATCCACCAGCTGTTAAAACAGTCCTGGCTGAAAGGGAGGAGCCCTTGCCAGGGCAGAAGTTGGGGCCTCCAAGTTTTTGTCTTAAGGAGGGAGTCCCTTGGGTGGGAGCCGAGAAGTTCAGCTCCAGCATTGTCCCAGACTAGGAAGGGTCAGGGTGAGGCCAGGGGCCCTGGGGGGCTAGAGAACAGAAGGGAGCCAAGGTTCTCACCTGACTCAGGCAGGTGAGAGGGAGCAGAGGGAGGAAGTGGGGACTTCTGGGAGGAGGCAGGAGGGGGACTGTGGTGTGATGCTGGCCACACGATCACCCGAGGCCCCATTCCACAACCTCTCATATGTCCCTCATTGCAGACTTTCGACTTAGGCATTCGAATGGGGAAAACTGAGGCTCAGAGAGGTGAAGTCACTTGCCCAGGGTCACCCACTACACATGCTCCAGAGCCTAGACTCCTGTAGTCACTGCCTACAGTGGTGTGCTCCCTGTCCTCCAACTAGGAAACAGAGCCTCAGGGTGTCCCCATGCCTGCCACACCCTCCCAAGAGCTTCAGGCTGGTGGCACTTAGGAGATATCATCAGGAGGAGAGGTGGCTCAGTGACAGCAGAGAGCTGGAGTGAGGGAGTGAGCTCACCATCTCAGGCCAGCTTCAAGTAGAGGCATCTGGAGCCTCCATCTTTGCTTGCTGATAGCCAAGGAGCAGGAGGAATGTCTCAGGGGCGTAGGGGACATGGTTCATAGTGGTCCTAAAACTAGCCAAAATTTGTCTGAAATTTCTGATTTTACCTAGAAACTCACACAAGTTTTCAACCTTTTCTTTAATAGTGGGATCCCCCGACCCCTTTTTAAAACATTTCCCCTCTCAGTCTTCTACCTGAGTGGACGCTCTAGGCCAGGGCAGCAGGCCGTGGTTCTGTTCTGTGGCTGTGTATACCCCGTGCGAGCACTGTGGACCACAGGCCCCCAGGGCTTGGGAGAAGAAGAGGGACCGGGCTGAGTAGAGACCTTGCCTGTTGTCACAGTCCGGGGCCAGCCCAGCTTCTGCTCGGAGAAATGCTGTCTTCTCCCACAGACACATGTTCACAGCCCGACAGTCTCATAGCAAATCTCAGATGCCCTTCCCCTCCCTTCGTCCTCTGAGGGTCTTTGGTTCATGGTGGTCACTATCTTCATGCCTCTCTGCTAGGCAGCCTACATTCATGTCCCCAGACCAGCACGACCCAGGGATTTTTGTGCCTCTCAGGAAGAAACTTGAGCACAGAGGCACCTGGTCCAGGGATCACCGTGAACAGGGTCATTGGATGCCCAGGGAGAGTCTCTGGGCAGGTGGGGCACCTGCGCCAGAGGAGAGATCTGGGTGCTAGCTAGGGAGGCAGGAGGAAGGAGGGAAGGGGAGGGAAGGCCTTGGGGTGTCTGGGGGCTGCTGCCTGGCAGGTCCCTGTGCCCAGGCTAGGGAAGTTTCTTATTTCTCCTGTTCTGACTTCCCCCTTTGATTTATTATAGCCATGAAATGCTCTGCTCTCTTCTCTTTTCCTTGCTGTCCCCCGGGGCTGGAGGAACACAGGCCTCCCAGGCACCCGGCCTCAACCTTGCTGGACTCCCGTCTCCTTCCAGGGGCTGGGCCTAGGGGCCAGAAACAGAGGTGAGTTGGGCAGCAAGGGGAGGAAGGGGAGGGACCCAGCCTCTCAAAGGCAGGACCTTCGGGGGCAGGCAGCGTCTTGCCTGGGCAGAGAGTGAGGCAGGTGTGGATTTGGCAGCAGCAGGCTCCCTAGGGTGGTGGGGTGGAGAGCTCTGGGTCAACGCCTCAGTAAGGCTTGGGAACAGGCCTTGTCATGTCTGAAGGCCTGGCAGCCCTCAAATGCCAAATAGTAGGTCACAGAATGGTGTCTCTGTGACCCCTGACCCCGTATTTGGATTAAAGGGTAGCCAAAGTAGGCCTGGCTTAGGCCCATCTGGGGATTGGGCTGAGAATCCAGAGGAAGGAAGGCCTGAGGCTCTGGTCCCCAGGTAGATTCCGGGCTCCTCCAGGTCGCAGCTGGACAGCGCTCTGAGGCCTGGCCCACGGGGGGAGTCTGTCCAGCTCCTCGGCAGGCAAGGTGGCAGGAGCATTTCTCCTAGCCCCTGTGCGGTGCCTGTGGTAATGGGGCTGTTGGCGTTTTGCAATGGGCCGGGGGTGGGGAGGCAGTGCACACATGCTTCCTGTGGTGACTGGGCGCTTCCTGTTTTCTCAGGCGCCGGCCTTGCTGCTGCCGATGTGGAAACAGGGGCAGCTGCAGCCAGGGCGGCTCCAGGCTGGGCACCCTGACCCTGCCCAGAGGAGCCTAAGTGGGCCCACAACCCCCCAGGCCCCAGACCTGGCCAGTAGATGGCCTGAGTTCCCCCCACATGAAACCCCTACCCCTCCCTTCCCCAACAGCTTCCACCAAGGGGAAGGGGCCAGGCAGGGCCGAGCAGTGGTCCAGGAGGCCAGAGGGCCGGGGTGAGAGCTCCAGGCTGGGAGTCAGGGCACGTGGCTCTGGGCTCGGCTTTGTCTGGAGCTGAGCACCACTGGCCACCTCTCACCCACTCAGGCCTCTTTTTCTTTTTCTAGTACATGGCACCAGGAGGGAGAATCCTAGCCCATTTCTGCCCACTCATTGAACTTTACTTCCCAAGAGGCAAAGCTCTGGGGACGGCACTGAGGCTGGGCCTCCCAGGTGCGGTGTGGGGAAGACCTAGGGAGGGGGACTGGAGAGGCAGGAGGGGGTAGGAGAGCACATGCCAGGTGGGGGCCAGATGAAACAAGGCTTGGCAATGGGGGCCAGGACCAGTGTGAACAGAGAGAGTGGAGGGACAGAGGGACATAGCGGGCGACAAGTTGATTCAGAAGGACTCCAACATGGAAAGAAGGTTGTAGGAACCTCTTCATCCCGGCAAACCCCAGGAAAGGGTCTGACACCCATCAAAGGAAGACGTGGTCATGTGCAGGGTGGGGGCGGGGCCCGGCTTCCCATCTGCCAAGGGGATGGAGGCCCCTGGAGTGTGACACAGGGGTCCTTGGAGACCTGTGCCTTTCCCCACCTGTCAGTCTGCCTAGAGGGTCATCATTAGGGTCAGGTCTTGGGATTCAGTGCTGCTGTCTTCCTGAATCTGTTTTGTTTTGTTTTAAGCTGATATTGCAAGAAAGGGAGGGGAGATGACTTTGCTTCTTGTTGAGTTTGCTGACGGCGTCTGGCCTTTGGAGGAGGAACATCTTCGCAGAAAGGCCAAGGCCCAAGCAAGCCCCTGGGGCCTGACCAGTCCACTGATTGAATCAGCCACCCCCTTGGTCCAGGACGTTCTGAGATGCCTGCCCCACGAGGAGCTCCCCCTAAACCCAAGATCTACCATCATAGCACAGGGACCGGGCCCAGCCAAAGAGGCCTCAGAGGTCCCACAGATCCTGAGGCCCAGGCTGAGGGGCCATTGGGCCAGGCTGGCCCTTACCATCCTGTGCCCACGGCCAGCCTGAGTGCTGAGTCTGCGGCACAGCAGCTGCTTCTGGCCACAAAGGCCCAGTTATAAATAAGCCCCATGTGGCCAAGTCATCAATTCTGCAGAACTCTGGCCCAGCTGCATCACTACAGTGACCACAGGTCAGGCTGCCCAGGGTGGACCCCAGAACCCACCCACCCAGGCCAAAGGCTAATAGGCTCGAAGCCCCCTTGGGTCCTCAAATTTCTGTGTGAGCATCTGCAGCTCTTGAAACTTGGGCCTCCCTGGACACAGGCCACAGAAGGGACAGGGCCCATCCTGCCTGCACAGAGCCAGCAGCTATTTACAAACCGAAACCCGGAGAAGTGAAGTAGCTGTGGCCAAAGTGGCTCCAGGCCCCCAGCCCCCACTCCCACTCCATCCCGGCAGTGCCCCCCCATGGCTTCCTCTTTCCTTCCCACACAGCACCCCAACCTCCTACTGCCTGGCCAGCTTGGACAACCTGAAGCCACCCCATGGTGACCCCCAACCCCGTAGCCACCTGCCCAGGGCTCCGCTTCTCCTCTTTACCCCAGGACCCTGTAAGTGTGAGCTCCTTGAAGCAGCTCCCCGCCCCCCCACCACACACACTGGACCCAGCCCACCCCCGTCTGCACGAGGCACATTCCCACAGTTCTCAGTTCCCCTTCAGGATTGGAAAAGCTCCAACCCCAATGGGCGCCATGCTGCTGGCCCTTGCCTGAGGGCGGCTCCTTTGGGTGCCTTTGACCTTCACAGCAGACAAGTAGGGGGTCAGGAGATGGGGTGTGCTCCTCTGTATCCGAGGGTTGCTTCTGGCGGGAGGCCATCACCCTACTCGTTGTCAGCCCCCTCATCAGGCAGGTGTGGGTTGTAGGCCCCTGTGCAGGGCAGATTGGGTGGGGACAGATGGACAAGGGTGGAGACCACAGCTCAACACTGCTTAGGAGCTGGTGTGTCGGCTGGTGCTGCAGCAGTGACAGGGAGAGAGAGCATATGACCATCCCTGGTGGCAGTGTCCCTCGCATTGACACGAGGTTGACAGCTCCCCTTCGTCTGTATTCCCCTCAGAAAAGGCCTGTTTTGTCATCTCTGTCATAAGTTGGAAACTGAGGCTCAGGGGGGACCATGGGTCTGCGGCTAAAGGGTCTGGACTGAGATTCTAGATTCCACAAGGAAAATCTAAGCCCACGGCCTCGCTCTTCTGACCCCTGGCTCCACTGTGTACCTCAGTCTCTCTCCCAGAAGGGTGGACACTTCCCAGCACTGTGACAAGGATGGAGCAGAGGGGTCTGGAGCTCAGGCCTTGGACTCCAGGGCCACATGGCCTTCCCTAGCCCCGCCATGGGTGCCCACTGGCCCCTGCCTTTCCCACAGGCCCTGCCCCATTCCTTCCCTCTGGCCACATCCCGCCGAGGGAAACCCCTGGGTGAGCGCCTCCTGCCGCAGCCAGCTGGTCCACGGAGTCCCACCTCTCCTCTCTGAGCCGCAGATTTCAATTTTGTGAATTGTCACAAATACCTGGAGCCAGCTGGTCCTGGGTGTGAGCTGTCTATATAGCTAGGGCTCAGCTCTTGCCCTGGGGGAACCCATAGTCCTATGGGGACTTCAGACAAGTCCTGTGACCTTCAAGGTAGAAACTGAGGCTGTGGGACGCTGCCTGGGGGGGGGGGAGCACTGCTACTTGGGATGGGCCCTGAAGGACAGGAAGGAGTTCTCCAGCAAGAGCAGGGTGATGGGGGCTCAGTGCTGAGTCACAGCCCCGTGCCTTGGCTTCTCAGCTCCCATGGCCTGGAGGGCCGGTCCCTGCTGTGAACTCCTGCCCATCTGTCAAGGCCCATGGACATGCCATAGCACGACCAGGCTTCGCCTGGCCTGGTGGCTCCTCACCTCCACTTCTCTCCTAGGGCCTGGAACAGACCCAGAGGTGAGGCTTCCTTGGTCCTAATATGCTCGCCAGCCCCACCCGGCCAGGCGTCTGCTCCCGGGCTCCAGCCCCCGCTGTCCTCTGCTCCGAAAAGCACCGTTTCCCTTTTCTGGGTGACCACACACGCCATGCACAGGGAATTTCCATCGCAGCCTGCGGAGCCTCTGATTCACTCAGGCCCCTCATGCAGTTAACTCCTCCAGGTCTGGCCTCCTGCTCCAGCACCCTGGCTGCCCCCAGCCCTAGCCAGACCTCTGGGCCACTCTGCACTGACCTTGGGCCCCGTAGACTCCAAGATGAATTCGGCGACCATCTCAGTGGTCCACTAGAGTCCGCTCACCTCCTCCACACTCATAGACCCAAGGCAGCTTTGGGCCGAGCTCAGGTTTGCGGGTAAGACAAGCCTGGGCTTAAGTACTGATTCTGGCCCTTAGTCCCTGTGTGGCCTGGAGCCCGTGGAAGCACCCACCCTGAGCTGGTTTTGGTCTTTATAATGGAGATAACTCCTGCCCGTGGCCTCTCAGCCTACAGCAGAACTCAGTAACTCTTAGTTTGTTTGTTTTTCTTTTCTTTTCAAAGAGCTTTGCTTGTCCTACCACAGGGTCCCTACCCCGGCCCTTCTCCTGGGCTGGCTCTCCTCCCAATAGCTGGTTGCTCAAGGAGGGTGAGAGGGACGTGCAGCCTTGACCCCCAGGGTGGTGGGGCCTTGTCCAGTGGGCAGAGAGGCTGTCTCAGGCCTCTGCTCTACCAGCTTCCTGGCTCCCCACATTTCTGCTTTTCCCAGGAGCAGTGGAGAGGCCTGGGGTGAGAACTCCAAGGGGCTGAGGACCGAGATGCTGAGCCCTGGGGACAGGGCTGAGCTTCCTTCCCTCTGGCGGGCACCTAGTCACACACAGACATCATACCTGCGTTCTCACAGGCCCATGAGGTGTGTCCCATTGCTGTTCCCATTTTGCAGATGAGGAGACTGAGGCCCCAAGAAGTATCTTGCCCTCAGCCACAGAATGAGAGAGGAGGGTCAGGGATAGTATTTAAGGTCTTCAGAGGTGAAGACCTGATCTCTGCAGGACTCAGTAAGCATTTGTAAAGGCCAACCGAGGATGGACTTTAGTTCCAACATGCACTAATTGGAACCCTACTGTATACCAGGTAAAGACTTGCACAGAGTAGCCTTTAGTTGACCTAGCACCGCTCCAGGACCTTTAGAACAGGGTGCCTGAGCTCTGGAGAGAGGGACGAACTCCCCAGAGGCCTTGTGGCCAATCCCTGGGGGGAAGATCCTGGTGAGCATAGAGACCAGGGGACCTAGAGGGCAGAGGAGGGCAGAGGGGGCTCCACAGAGGAGGGTCTGGGTGGGGAAGCAGCTCCTCCTCAGTGAGCTGGTGTGGTGCTGCCCGTGGTGAGCAGACGGAAGTCGCTGTGGGTGGCGGTGGGTTTGAGGTGCCGGAGGCTGAGTGATGTGGCCAGGAGGTGAGCGCCCCATCTGTAGGCCTGGTCAGCCCGAGACAAGGGTGTGGTGGAGGGGGGGCTTCAAATCCCAGCGCCTGGACTCTGAGGAGGCAGGACTCTGGGGAGGCAGGTGCTCTGGGGGTTTGTGCCTGGGGCTGCAGGGCTGGGCACCCGAGTGGAAGGAGAGACTGAGGAAAGATGGGGCAAACCGGGAAGGGGGCAGTCTGAGGAGGCAGCCTGAAGGAGGTGAGCCTTAAAAGAGAGGCCCAGGGGTGTGGAGGGCCGTGGGCCTGTGAGCCAAGGCTGTGGGAGATTGAGAAAGAGGTTCTGGGAATGTTGAGCAGCGCCTTCTGGCTGGGGTGGGGTTGGGGCTGCGTGGGGTGGAGGAGGGGGAGGCTGCCAGCTCCCCGTGTTGGAGGCCCAGCGCAGGCTTAGAGGCCTGAGAGCTAAGGAAGGCTCCTGGGGAAATACCCGCAAGAGACCCACAGGCTCAGCTCCAGAACACAGGCCCTCGGGCCACTCTGCAGCAGCTCTGGCCCCACTGCCAGCCTCGTGCCCTTGGGCAAGCCCCCTCACCTCCCTGGGCTGCATCCCCCCATCTGTGAGGTGGCACTGACCAGGTCTGCCCCCCAGGAACAAGGAAGGGGAAGGGGCCAAGGCAGGTAGACAGTAGGGGCTCAGTCAGGGCCAGCCTGGCTTGCGCCTCAGGAGCATCTGCCGTGGTGGCCAGCGAGGGTCAAGGTCTCAGGCAGACCTGAGCGTGCATCTCCCCAAGGCCTGGGTTGACTGAGCCACTTCTGAGCCTCAGTGGCCGCCTCCGTACCTGAGGGATGATCATGGCACCAGCTTGAGACTCGGATAGGAGCGCACGCACCCTGCAGTGGGCCCTTTGATCTGAGTTAAAACCAAATCCCACACTCCCCTCTTCAAGGTCCTACCCGACCTGGCCCTGTCTGGCCTCACCCCCTGCCATTTTGGCTCTGTTCCCAGGGACCACCTCACCCTCCTGGGACATGGGCGCTAGCTGGGCCCTGCTTGGAACTCCTCCTCCAGACACTGCCGGGTGCCCTCCCTCAGCTGCCTCTAGGGTTTGCTCAAAGGTGACCTGGAGGAGGTCCTCCCTGCTGTGCCCCAGCCCAGGCTTCTCCCAGCTGCGATTCCTCTCTAGTGGCCATTACTTTCTGGCATGCGGGGACACATGCCATCTACTGTGTCCCGGCTCCTCTCCTGCCGGAGAGCAGGCACCCTGAAGGCCAGGAGGCGAAGGCCTTCCTCCCCTGTCAGCCGCATGTGAGGGCCCTGCCAGTATCTGCTGGCCATCTTCGTGCTCTAAGGAGCCAGCAGTGCTGTGACCAAAGTTTGGGGAGCGCTGAGGGGCCCTAGTGACCCAGGCTGGGGCCCCAGGGTCCTTTTCCCAAGTGTCTCAACCCTGAGAGGAAGTTGCAAGACAGCCATCTCAGTGCACGCCATTTCCCGGCCCAGGCTCAGCTCGGTCGGGCCGACTTTCCCAGCCCTGGGCGTGAGGCCTGCGTTTCTGAACATGCGCTGTCACAGCTCCTGGGGGACGGTTCATAGGAAAATGGGAGGGGTGACATTTCCTCACTTCCCAGCTCTTTTAGGCCCAGGGTGAGGGGTCTGTGAGGTCCGGGGTCAGGTTCCCCTCTGTGGGCTCAAGCTCTGGGGACGCCTGCCCGTTTCCTGCTGCTTACCCACCCTGCAATTGCATTAGCACCCAGCCAACCCCCATGGGCCACCAGCCCAGTGGGGGCAAAGGGCCACCCCACCCCAGGCCTGCCTGGCCTCCGTGTCACTCTGCAGGTCACCCACTTGTCCAACAGGGTGGGGAAAGATCACCGACATGCACTGCGGGTAGGAGGGTAAGAGGTGCAGTGTTATTAAGGTCACTATGACAATAGCTGTCTACTTATGGGTTAAAAGTGCGTTGCCCTTCAACCTGGTGATTCAACTTTTGGAAACTTATCCTAAACATAAGCCTGTTATGTATAAACCTGCACGTGTGTAATTCACCACATTTTCTTATTGCAGCCTTATTTGCAGCAGCAGAAGACTGGAGACACCCGGTGCCCATCAATAGGGGACTGATTACAGAGATCAGGACCCTGGAAAAGGGTCCAGCAATGACAGCGAACACAGCAGGTTGTGACAGAAGAAGCCGGGCCCCAGAGGCTGGGCACAGCATCCTTCTCTTCCTCTCAAGATTCCAATCTGTTCAGATAAAAACTAAGCTACAACGTTAGAGATGCTCATGAAGAAAAGTAAGGGGTGGGAGTGGAGGTGTGGCTCACGGGAGGGCTCCCGGCTGGCACGCATCAGACGCAGTTCTGCACCGTACCAAGCGGGGAAAGTGTAAGGAAATAATTTCTAAAAAAAAAGTTAGGACAGAAGTAAGGGGATGTTTGAGGTGCTCTGGGTCCTGGCAATCTTTTATTTCTTTTATTTCTTTTCCTAATTTATTTTTTAAATTTTTATTTATTTTTTTCCTTTTTTTTCTTTTCTTTCCCCAGTGCTGGGTCAAACCCAGGCCTTATATATGCTAGACAAGTGCTTTCCCATTGAGCCACACCTTCAACCCTTCTTAAGTTGCTTAGGGTCTTGCTAAATTGTTCAGACTGGCCTCAAACTTGAGATCCTCCTTCCTCAGCCTCCTGAGCTGTTGGGTTTACAGGTGTGCGCCACCATGCCGGCAATGTCTTCTTTCTTTCTTTCTTTTTTTGGTGGTGCTAGGGATTGAACCCAGGCCCTTGTGTATGTGAGGCAAGCACCCTACCAACCGAGCTATATCCCCAGCCCAATGTTTCAGTTCTTGACCTGGATAATGTTCACATAGTGTTAGCTTTATAATTAAATTGTACATAAATATGTTATGTGCCCTTTTTTATGAATGTGTCTTTCATGATTTAAAAATCTCACAGCCTAAAGAGGGGACACACACTTATACTTCCAGCTACTTAGAGACTGAAGCAGAAGGGTCTCTTGAGGTAAGAATTGAGGATAGCCAGACAATACAGAAAGACACTGTCCCCCCAAAAACATCACAGCACAGATGCTCCTCTGCATCCTGGTAAACTAAGTCAAACATGCAATTGATACACTTGACTTACTACACGTCCCAGCTCAGTAACACGGTGCACTGTAGCTAAGCCTTCACCCTCAAGATCCTGTGGTGAACAAGGACTGTGGTGGCTGCCACTGCAGCATCTGGAGAGTCTCGGATTGCGTATCACTAGCCCTAGAAAAGATTCCAAGTTCTGGGGCTGGGGTTCTGGCTCAGTGGTGGAGCGCTCACCTAGCACATGTGAGGCCCTGGGTTCGATCCTCAGCTCCAAAAATATAAATAAATAAAATAAAGGTATTGGGTCCAACTACACTAAAAAATAAATATTTAAAAAAAAAGATTCAGAATTCAAAATTCAAGCTGAGCACCGTGCACACCTGTAATCCCAGCTATTCGGAGGTTGAGGCAGGAGTATCACAAGTTCAAGGTCAGCTCAGCAATTTAGCAAGATCCTGTCTCAAAAACAAAAAGGAACCAGGGATGCAGCTCAGTGTAAAGCCCTCTTGATTCAATCCCGAAACAGGAAAAAAAAAATCAACATTTGAAGAACTTCAGTAGAAATTTCTACTGAACGCACATCCTCTTCATACCATCATGAAGTCAAAAAATCCCAAGTCGAACCATTAAATCAAAAAATCCTAAATTGAAGCATCGTAAGGAAGAGACCTTCTGTACATCTAAACAGTGGAATACTATACAGTCCTTAAGAAGGGCAAGACAGCTCTGTAATCATTAATGTGGAATGGATTTAGGGGGGAAGAAACAAGGGGAAGTGTAATGTATTTAGTGTGATTCCTTCTGTATAAAATAGAAAATTGACTCTATCTATCTACATGCTTATGTCTGCTTAGACCATCTCTAAATGGACACAAGAGGACCAGGTAACAGGGGAGACCGTCTGTGGAAGAGGAACTGAGCACTTGCTGACCTTTGTGCTCTTGGTATTTTGTACCACGTGTCTGTATTATCTATCCCAAAAATAAAATAATGAAAACATTTTTTCTTCCTCTGTTCCCTGGAGACCCCAGGATTCTTGGTTCCAAGCCAGTTTCCTTCCGACCAGAACGAGTCAGAGCCGCGTTCTGGCAAGGTGTACCTGGTGACGTCTGGCGAGTCTCAGACCCCGACTCCCACTCGCCTCACTGTACAGGAAGGAGGCTGGGGCCATGCCCTGGGCGCTGCTGCCTCCTGGCCTCTGCTGTCCGTGTCCCCCACCTTGCCTCTTGTCCCCCGCCCGTCTCCCTTCCCCTGTCCCTGCCTCTTCTCTCCTGTCTCGCCCTTGGCCCTGGGCAGTCTCCGGGCTCTCTGCACCTGTCAGTTCCATTTTCTCTTTCCCTTCCTCTCTGCTCCTGCCTTTCCTGCTCTCTCCCTGCCTCGGCTTCACAGGGCCCCCCCTTCCTTCTGCCTGCCTCCCTCCCGGGTGAGCCCTGCCGGAGCCCCTGCAGGCTGTGGGACGCTGCGGGGTCTCTGATCTCCTGGGGTGTGACCCTGAGGGTGGACGCGCTGGCCTGTCAGGCACGCAGACAAGATGCCGTCCTTTGTAACCCTGGGCTGGTGGATCGCCAGACCCTCCTGTCTCTCAGGATGAAACGTCTCACAGAATAGGGTTCCAGGGTGGAGGGTCGCGTCCCGACAGACCTAGCCGGAAAGCACCTGAAGCCAAAGAAGCTCAGCTTCGTGGGCTCGGGCTGCGGTGGCCCTGAAACCCCCCACCTCCACCGCCAGGGTCTACGCGGAGTTCCTGGGAATCTGGATCCTGCTCTTCCCAAGGACTGGAATAGGAAGGAGCAGGTCCCCGGGGATGTGGGGAGAAGGCCTCTGTTGTCCTCTGGGAGGCGGGAGCTGGAAGAGGGGCGGGAAGGTGGCGTGGCCACAGGTGGGAGCAGCTCGCAGGGCACGGGGCGCGGGGCATTCTGGCCCCTTCCAGAATGTTCGGCCGTGAGCTTCTCTCTCAGGGAACCTAGGGCCTCGTGCCTGCTCAGCTCTGGTCTACCTCAGAGCCACCAGGGCCACCTGGGTCTCTCTTTGGTCTGCCTCACCTAGGCTCCTTGGCCTGGGCCAGACTTGGACAAGGGACTCTTTCTTCCCCTTGGACCTCTTGAATCTTAATCCTCCTGGAAACGTGGCCTCCTGCCCACACTCATGAGGCAGAGCTCTGCCCTTGCTCTGCAGGTCACGAAGCCCCTGGGCTTGGCTCTCGAGGCTGTTGGCCTTGCTTCCGGCCACCAGGACGGCAGCTCGCTGTCCCCATGTTCTTTTCCAACTGCTTGCCCCCACCCTTCCCAGGCCACCCTACCTGTGACGGTGACCTCCCTCACACCCCCCTCTCCCGTGCTCTCCTCCACAAAGACCCTCGGTCTCCCCTTACCAGCCCAGCAGGTGGGCTTCAGGTGATAAAAGGTAAAGAGTGAGTAGGTAACGCGCACAAAACCAGATCAGATTAAGACAACAGGGAGCAAAGGCAGGGATGAAGGGAAGATGGAGAGGACGACCTTATCCCAAGTGAGGAGCCAGGATGGACTGACGCCAAGCCAGCTGTCCCCCTCCTGAGAGACAGGGAGGGGCCTGGTCAGGTTCCTAGGGGTTCTGAGGACTTGTGACCTGGACCTGTGGAGAGTCCCAAGTGCAGATACCAAAAAAAACCAGTGAAGATGGAAGGGAGGGTGACCTCACGGTGAGCCCCAGGCGAGCCCCAGGCTGTGAACCCCGGGTCTTTGCTGACAGTGAAGGAACTTTCAGGGTCCTGGGAATCGACGGGCAGGAATGAGGCAGGCTATCCCCCGAAGGGAGCGGGCCTAAGGTAAGGGATGAGATTACCCAGGGGAGACAAGCATACTCAAGTTCTTTGCCAGCAGAGTGGACTCACCAGAGGTCACTGGTGAAAATCGAGGCCTCTGTTCATCATTCTGCACCCCCCAGACTAGATCTCCGAAGGCAGGAAGCTAGAACAATACCTTTCTGTTTCCCAGCACTTGGCCCAGAGTCTGGAACTCAGTTAACATTGGGAGGATGAATGGACACAGCTGATGGGTTGGATAAGTGGATGGATGAATAGGTGGATGGGTGGATGGGTGGATGGGTGGGTAGGTGGATGGGTGAATGGGTGGATGGGTGGGT